TGGGGGTGGGAGGGTGTGTGGGTGTGTGTGTGTGTGTGTGTGTGTGTGTGTGTGTGAATTTATTTATTTATTTTTAGCACCCACCAATAAGTGAGAACATGCGGTATTTCTCTTTCTGTGCCTGACTTGTTTCACTTAATATAGTTCTCTCAAGGTCCATCCATGTTGTTGCAAATGGCAGTATTTCATTCGTTTTTATAGCTGAGTAGTATTCCATTGTGTAGATATACCACACTTTCCGTATCCACTCATCCAATGATGGACATTTGGGCTGAGAACATGGGCTCTTAATCTCCACATAGCATTGACTCATCTTTGAATCTTTCACCCTATCCTATAAATAATTATATCTTACCCTTTATTTTCTTCTATATTTATTCGATGGTAACAACACACCTACTCTATGCCAGACACAAACAAATTCAGGAATAAATAAAACAGAGTCCTGGCCTTCAAGGAGCTCATAGTACAGTGGAAAAACTAGACATAAACAAACAATTATGATATAAGGTGAGAAACAAACAATTATGATATAAGGTGAGAAACGGCTCTTAATAGAGGTAAGCATGAAGTGCTTAAGAGTACAGAAGAAGGAGGGCTTTATACTGCCTTGGTTATTAAGAAAGCTGGAACCAAGTGGCTACAATTCAGTTCAACAAATAATTATATACAAAGATATCAAATCCAAGCTCTTACCATCACACACATGAAATACTACCATCTTTATTACCATTCACCAACTGGGAAACCTGGGCAAATTACCTAACTTCTCTAAATCTGCTTCCTCATTTGTAAAATGGGGGAAATAACACCATCACATAGAATTACTATGAGGACTAAATGAGAGGAGGCTTACCATAGTCCCTGAAGTATTTTTAGAAACCTTAACTCAATTCATAAAACACATATTCGGTATGCCGTTTCCCATTCCAAAATGTCTACGGGATGACATCAAAACTCTAGCATGTAAAGTTCCGGGGACTTCTGGGGAGCTGGTAATGTTTCTTGATCTGGGTCCTGGCTACATGAGTGTATATGGTTCGTAAAAATTCATTAAGCTCTACACTTATTTTATGTGCACTGTATGTATATTGTAGTTCAGTAAACCCTGTTACTCCCCTACTTTGGATATTTCGCACCTTAAAACCTTTCTTTTTTCTTTTTTTTTTTTATTTCTTGGTAACTGGGCGGTGCAGGGATTGAACCCTAGACCTTCGTGTCATCATCACCAAGCTCTAACCAACTGAGCTAACCTGCCAGCCCTTCACATCCTTGAACATTTCTAGATCTTATTTACCTTCTGCTACTTGGAACTCCCTTTCCTCTAATCTCCCTTTCGAAACCCTAAGTACGTCCTTTAAGAGTCAGCTCAAATTGCACATCCTTAGGAAAGTGAAAAAGGAAGGGACAGTTTATTCAGGGTCAGAACACGAAGGAAGGAACTGGGTGGACACAGGAAGTACACTTTTCATAAATTATTATAGCTATTTATCTACCCCACTAGCCTGTGGCTCCTTCAACCCAAGTTTACTGTTTGATGAAGAACTTAACAGTAGGAAAACTACACTCCAAGTGCCAGACTGAGAAAAGGCGTCTAAGCATACTCCATACCTTTCCTCGCTTTGGCAAGATAGGTCCGCTCATCCCAGCCCCGCTCCCACACCAAACCCTAGCCCAGAGAGCACCGTTCGCGACACCACAGCAAATCCCAATCCCCTCCGCATATCACACACCATACAACACCCCTTCCTCTTATCCCAACCCTTCCGCAGACCACGCCCCTCACAGGACACGCCCCCTCAGGTCCCCACCCATCCCTCAACAGCCCCGCCCTCCTACCCTCTCCAGGGACCCCAGAAACCGGTCACTTCCCCCGCCTTCCATTCACTGAGGCCCAGACAGCGCAGGCAGGGCCTGGCCGCCTGTTCCAACCAGTGGCCTCACCTCTCTTCCAAGAGCTCAGGGGGGACACCACCTCCACCCGCTCGGAAATAAATTCGGCCAGAGTGGAGCGGAACAAGGCCGCCCGCACGGTCACGGCCACCACCAGCACCAGGGCCAAGGGAGCCGCCATGATAACTGGGGCGGGCGCGCAGGCGGAGAGGGAAAGGCGAGGCGCAGGAGCCTCGCGACCCGCGCACCGCCTCCTGTAGTTCCGCGGTTGGGCGCTCGCCACGGCTGCCGCTGGAGCTACCAGACATGGGCACTACCACTCCCAGAAAGCCTTGCGGCGAGACAGAGGGAACAACGGAAAGCGGGGCGTATCAAGATTGTTAGAAATCGTTGGGTGCAGCCTTCTCGGTTCACAGGTGGATGGTAAAACCGCGCAGTGGCTGGATCGCTGCTGAAAGTAGAAGGAAGCCGAAGTAGTCATCTAAGCGGGATTGTGAGCAAGTTTTAAAGAGATGCTAATTTCTCTCGTGTGTATGTTTTTAATGTTAAAATGTTTACCTTTTATGTTTTCGAAGAGTGTTAAATATGTACTCTTAATTATTCTACCATTGTTTATTGAACGCCAACTATCTGTATTAGGTTCCGAGGATACAGTCTGGAGTAGTAGACAGATTTATTAGCTTTGCGACCTTCAGCAAGTTGCTTAACCGTTCTGTGCTTCAGGTCGCTCATCTGAAAAATGTACTGGTTATAGGCTCACTAGAGACGACTGAAGAATGTTTAGAAATTTTGCCAGTCGCTTTTAAACGCAGCCATTCTTGAAAATTAACTTAGAATTCAATAAATGATATTAAAAACAAGGAAATAAACACTCAAAACTCACCACTTCTCAATTTTACTACACTTTTGTTTTATCTATGACCCTGAGGTTATTTACCACTGTATCAGTATGGCAAATATTATAAATGGTGTGTTATTGCCCTTCTCTTCTCAAAAAAGTGTTCAGTGAGGGCCAGCCCGTGGCTCACTTGGGAGAGCATGGTGCTGACAACACCAAGTCAGGGGTGGGGATCCCCTTACTGGTCATCTTTAAAAAAAAAAATGTTCAGTGAGGTCAAATTGTTGGCTTGAAATCCCTCGCAGTGGGAGTGTTTACACCACAGAAATCAGCAAACACTACAGATCAGGGGTTTGGGATTTGAAGAGCCCATTGATAAGCATTAAGCATCATGCCACATTATTAGTTAATTATGCGAAGTGTTTATGGTAAGTGCTTAAATACTAACTATAATAATTAATATTAAATGAATGTACAAGGAAATTTCAGATCTGTGAAGAAAATGAAACAGAGTTCATGACTGAGAATACCTGTCAGTGAAAGGATAGTGGTAATACTGGACAGGTGTCAGGGAAGGCTCTGGGAAGATGTGCCATTTGAACTGAATCCTAAAGGATGAGAAAACTAATCAGAGCTTCCAAGCAAAGAGAACAGACTCTGAGTCAGGAAATAACAAGGCATATTTGAGGATCAGAAAAGAAACAAAAATTGTGGCTGGAGAGACATAGAGGGGTTAATCTGGTAGGGACCTATTGGCCATGGCTGGGAATTTGCGCTTTATTTAAAGGGCGATCCATGTGCCATTGAAGACTGTTAAACCAGGAAGTGATGTGGTCAGGCGTACATTTTTAAAAGATCTCTATCTCCCCAAGCCCTATATTGGGTATTGGGTAATATTACAGTGACAGCATTGCACTTCCTGCCTTTATGAAACTTGGAGAGTAGTTGAAGAGATAATGATAGTTTTAAGAACAATATAAGGGTCCTAGGCAGGAGTCAAGGGCAGCCACCTCCTCTACCAAGAAGCAGGCAAGAGAGCAAGCTGAAAACACCACTTTCATGCAGGTGGCCCATCACAGCCACAGCCAGAACCATGGCTGCTGCAAAAGTGGCTTGACACCACAACAGTAGCCACCACCACCGTGCAGGCACCCTGCCAGACACTTGACTGCATTGACACAAGGAGAGTCACCAGCAGAGACTAGAAAAAGAAGTGGACTTCTCTGTCCTCAAAGCCCACTCCAGAGTGGTAGAAGAAGCAACTGTTCCACCAGATAACCAGACATCAATGTAGAGATACTAGAAATATGAAAACCTAAGAAAATATGACACCACCAAAAGAATACAGTAATTCTCAGATACCAGACACTATAGAGCAGTAAACTCTTGAAATGACTGAAAAGGAATTCCAAACAACGATCTTAAGGAAACTCACTAAGGTACAAGAAGACACAGTTAGACAACATAATGAAACAAGAAAAAAAAAATCCAGGATATGAAGGAGGAAATTTACAAAGAGATTAATACCTTTAAAAAGAATGTAGCAGAACTCATGGAACTGAAAGATTCGCTCAATGAAGTTAAACACACACTGAGGGCCGAGTCCATGGCTCACTCGGGAGAGTGCGGCACTGGGAGCGCAGCAGTGCTCCCGCTGCGGGTTCAGATCCTATATAGGGATGACCATTGCGCTCACAGCGCTCACTGGCTGAGCACGGTGTGGCAGGTCTCAAAAAGGACAAAAAAAAAAAAACCCTACACTGAGAGCCTAAGCAGCAGGCTAGAACAAGCAGAAGAAAGAATATCTGATCTTGAAGATAGTCTTTTTGAAATAACTCAGGTGGACCCAAAAAAAAGGAAAAAAGTTTTAAAAAATGAAGAAAATT